CTTTTATGGAGCGGCATGCATTTTGCTAGTACGCGCGATAAAGCGATACTCTTGTTTACGAAAAATAAAGTGCACTTACAGAAAATACAGTGCGTTTCTTATCACAAAAGTGTTTCTAGAAAAAGAAAGAGAGAGAGAGAGAGAGAGAGAGAGGGAGAGCAAACATTCCCATTTTTTATTTATTATTATGCATGTTATAGGATGTACATTTGATATAATATGTTTTCATAATACGATCGCAATCTATCGATCTATCTTGCGATGCAATAATACGCGCACGCAGACCTTGCGTTCCACGGAGAAAAAGCATCATAAATTACATCGTTTATCTTGCCACGTATAAATAACTTAAATAATTTAAACGTATAAAGTTGTTTTAACAACGCGGCGTGTAATTAATTTTAATAATACAGCTCTGTCCGTTGTATGTATCTTCAATTTACTCGAACAGCCGTACATCGCGTTATTGCGCGGGGTTGCCTATATATAATACGAGCTTTTCTGCGGCTCAGCGTTTGGCGAAATGACAAAGCAAGCAGACAAAATCTCGTGTGCTTCGTTTATAACATTACGGACTCTTCTATATTCCGTGTAATGTATCCTCTTCAGTACGTGCGCTACATAGCGACCTCGTCTGCTTGGCGAGGTATATGGCCGTTCCTTGTACGTACGTTCTCGGATGAGGAAACAGAAAGTCGGGACCGTGTCGGGAGTACTTCACCGCTGTTCTCTACCGAGATCTTCCGACCATATTCGCGCGCGTCGCCGTCGTCGTCGTCGTCGTCGTCGTCGTCATCGTCGTCGCTGTCGAATACAAAAAGGATGAATGAAGAATAGCGTCTGCGTGCACCAAGCGCGAAATTTCACCGCGATAAAATAGCCCCCTCTTCGCGGGGCGCGGGGCTCCCCGCACGTATGAGACATTATGTTTATGAATCGCGATAAAGTGCGCCGTGATAAAGCGTACGAATAAACCGGGTCGTTGTGACTCGAACGCGCTCAATCGTTCTAAAATGCGTGATATTACGCGCGCGTCGAATATTTATGCACGTTTAAATTTAACCGCATTTACAACGCCGCCATTTGTCGGAGAATTTATCGCGCGCGTTAAGGTATTCCGTTTCCGTCGTTTTTGGATTGTAAATGCTTCATTCCCAGTTTTTGTCCTTCCATGTAACTGCTGCGCACGGAAGCCAAGCCACTGTTAGAAATATCGTTTGACTTGAAATGTACACAAATTGTGTCAAATAGACGTATTGTGTGTGCTTCTTGACACACAGTTTATTAAGTATATGTTTATAGGTATTTTAATAAAAGAATTTTTTAATTTATTTATAATTTATTTTTTTTATATATACTACGGTTTTATATATTTTTTCTACTCGGGTTCTATACTGTACTTCTATACTCTTCTATTGTGCTCTCTCTCTCTTTCTCTGTCTCTCTCTTGCATTTCCATCGATGTCCTGCAATGCTCCCAGGAATAATACACTCTGCCAAGCCCTCGAGTATGCATAAAATCGATCCGTACAATCTTCCGGATACGGTATGCCTTCCGTCTCTGTGAAGTTTCCACGCGCAAATCCATACAGCCAGGTCGTTTAACAAGTTTATTCAACCGCGTTGTGTCCTATTGTCTCGATGGTTATCCGCTGCCGAGTCGATATCCGAATGGACCATGGTGCTCGTCCCATCGATATCTATCTTGCGCGGAGTAATTCCCAAATATCCTGCGAACAGACCCATTACAAGCAAGGCGAACTCGTCATACACAAAATACAAAAGATGCGCGCACACGTATAATATAAGTGCAAGCCGAAAAATTGTATGGACATGTACTGCATTCAGAGAAAAAAATAGTCGCAATTCAGTAAATAAAACATCATTAATTAGAAAGTTAGTCAGTAATTAAAAATTGAGAAAAAATAATATTCAATTATGAATTATGAATTATGAAATTGTGATAAGAAGAAGAATGAATAAATTGTAAACTAAGAATAATATTATTTATTTGAATAATGATTAAATGTGTGGACTACAAAAAAATAATAACAAAAAATAGTTGTATTAACACATAAAATATATTTTTTAAAATAAAGCGTGTCACATTATATACACTTATAATTCATTTCAGAAAATTGTATAAAGTCTATGGATATATCAGAAATACCAAAACTATTCTATTTCCTCTGAATGTGAGAGTAATTATATCTGATTTTTACGCTCCATAATTGCGTAAACCTTGTTTAAATCAAACAACACATTGCGAGATTTACAGTTATCAATTTGTATAATTGAAATCAAATATGCTTAGCTATAGATAGATTATTAATAGAAATTGAAATATAATATATACATATATGATATAATTTATGGTAAATGAGCAATAAAAGTGAGAAGTACAGCTATACAATATTCACGGATGATAATCGAGTCTCACACTAGCGAAGGATCATGTTTCGCGCTTTCGTCATCGTATGCGCGCCAAGCTCTTATGCAAATTGCTCGCCGGTGGTTCTTACGGATGCACACACGCGTGCAAATGTGCGTCTCACAAGCCAATTAGCGCGTTATCCCCCGCGGAGCATGGCGACATGTGTTTTCCGGGCGGTGCGTCAACCCCGCCGCCGGCGCGGCGGTGCGCGGCGCCGTGTCGTATCTCGCGTGCCGTATACCTCGGAAAGGGAGAATATCGGCGCGATATCGACGCGCGCAAATTCTCATACAGTCGACCTGCATACATATCGACGCTTTGGCGGCGCCGCGTGGCTGGAACTGCGCCGCAACGGGCGTACCAGGTATACACGTGCAATCCTGAGCGATCTGTCCTGGGCGACGCGACGGTGCACTCTCTTCCGAACGTCCGATTTGGAAATTTATGGGATACCCGGGGTTCGCGCGCTTAACACACCACTCTATATGCGTGGTGCATTTCAATACGTCGTTACGCCCACGAGTAAGGCTGATTTGCGATAGAGACGTTTACGTTCCTTATACTCAGTTGCAGTATCTTTTGTAAATAATTTGGCAAATAAGTTCTCGACTCTTAGTCATTATCAAGACTTATTATAATGACTTGAGTTTTATTGCAATTCGATTTCTGGCCTTTCACGAGTTTGAGATTCAGTTATTATTGCTATTAAGCCATTCACAAGTTGACGACAATTTATCTACAAAATGTTTTTTGCGTCTTGTACACAAAGACGTCTTCCTCAAATGTATATTTGTGACATTCGTAATTTAATTATGGTCGCGTGTCATGTGAGTACCATAAGTTTGGTAATTATGTCGCAATTTAAATTACAAAGGAGTCGGCTCTCCCGAATTTGTCAAAGAATAAACGCCTGGAATTTAATGTGGGACCCGCTGCGTTTTCCTCTGTTCGCGATATGCATTTGCTCGCCGCGGAATTTTGTTTAGAGCGGCGGGGGTGATGAAAGCGGAGGATTAATATTCTGCCTCGAGAAATTCCAGTTATTTTCTCCGTTACTCCCATCCCGACAACGACGCGCACAATACGTCACTGATATCGCGCGGTGCTTTCGTGATGGACGTTCGCTGTTTGGCAATCCGTTTTCCGCGCATCTCTCGAATTTCATATGGAAACTTGTAATTATTTTCGACATCGTAAGGCCGCATGGAACGTCTTCATTAAAGGGTTCTTCGGATAGGATAATTAAAAGTTTCACTAGAAGCTTCGGAGCGTTCATTTGCAAAACGTAACGGGGTGTTCGAATTTCCCTAATGTTTATTAATCTTGTATATTGATGCCATATCTTTTATTTATCATGCTAAGAAAGATTATTTGAATGATTTGAGAAAAATTAAAATGAAGTAAAATTATATAAATAATGGGAAATAAAACAGGATTAGAAAAATGAAGAATGGAAATTCGGATATGTGGCGTATTGTCAAATATATACATATATGTATAGGTATTAATTTATTTTTAACACACACATATATATTATATATTTGCCATTTTTGTAACAAAGATCAATAATGTATTATTTGTTAATAAACATACAGCAAAATCAGAGGAAATATCATATTTCTCTGCCAAACGCTTCTATTCCCGGAATATCGATGTTACGTTTATGCCTCATCTGTATATCGTAAGCGCGGGCTGCGTAGACACTTTGTGCGTTTATATTTCCGCGTCTCGTGGGGCTCGTTACACGACAAGAGCTGCGTCCCGGACAACTAGTAAGAATGGCCACTTAATTAAGACTTTAATTAAATTAAAGCCTTTAATTAAGTTGCATCAGTTAAATAGAATAAATCTTATCGCGACGTAAGCACTAATATAAATTACTTAATTTTATGTAGAGGAAGAAAGAGAGAATTTGAAGGAGAAAAGGGGAGCGGCAATCTCTTTCACAGCTTGCGCACAATGCTAATTGTGTCGTTGTAATTAGTTTGCATTTTAAACGGCTAGATAGGAGGCTTCTGCCAGTTTCGTGACGAGAAGCATAAGAAATATTGTTGTTTTATGAATTTATTGTACCGGCAATACAGTTTTCCGGTGCATGATCACTTCAGAATATGCAGCATGTCTCACGATAGCATTATTTTTAACTTATATATAGTTTGGCGAATTAGCAGCTTATTTTTCAACGTCTAATGCTAGATATATCGTGGGTGTAATTGAAAATTTTGATGGACCACGAAAACTAAAATGTAAGAACGTAAAATGACTAAAACTATTTGCTGTTATCATTTATCTCTACTAATTACAAGTTCTAAATTAAAATCGGAATTAAGTAATGCGATAGCCGGGCAGTAAATGCAGCTTAAACGTTGCGTCGCTTTAAAATTAGAATGGTGGAATGTTTGTGTCGTAATTGTGGTGGCGGTAAGAGTATCCATAAAGATACCGAGCTTTTTGCGAGTAATTGACTGCGTATACATACATACATACATGCATACATACATACATATAATACATGTGTCTTGTAACTAATTTCACTAATACTAACGCCCCTTTTTTCTCATTTCAGACATGTCCTACAAGCCGCGCCATCCCATTATCGAGGGTAAGTATTTTCAGTCATAATACACGTAATACACGTAATGGTATGCCAATCTAAATCGCGGGGAGCTGCTCATTCATTTGAAGCTCCGACTCGTATAACTATAGCCTCGCTACAAACGCACGCTATGATAATATTGATTTTCCAAACGAAAGATCACAGAGAGACAATTCCCTGTACTTATCCTTGCCTTTCGGACAGTTCGTCGACTTTTCGTTAATACCGGTATTAACTAATTACGTTACGTCACATTACAAAATCATCGAAGTATTCGTGAAAGTTCACGTACCGCTGGGAATTACTTGCTCTTCGAAACCATGCATCGCGTTTCGTAATACATTTACCTTGAAATCGATTTGTGTATCGCGGAAAAATACCACGGTTTATACGCTACGTACACATGAAAAAGCGAGTAAACGAAATCGGTGTCTTCCACCTCGTTGGTAATGCATGCGCGTGCACGCGCGCAAACGGAATTTACCAACATGCTTTTGCAAAATGAGGTGGACTTCCTGGCGAAATCGCAGATTACGTTAGACAGGCTGACACGCGACGTTTCGGGGCCGACGTGTTATTCCCGAAGAATAACCCGACGAGAGAATGCGGGCCGAATGTTGGCCTTCCAAACGACCGGCGGCATGGCTCAATTACACGGAATGCGCGTGCGGCTTCGCCGCGCACCGTGAAATTGCGTTATCGCCGCCAAAACGATCGCGATAACACGCGTACCTCGCGCCCCCGTCCCGCAAAACACCGTGGACGGCTTCTGCAAGACACATTTTTTCGCCACTCGCGCGCGCGGGGCAGCACCCGTGCCTCTTAACGACGTTTAATTCACCTCGTTATCCCGCGCGAGTAATTATAATCTCATCATCGTTCACAAGATTCGATCGGAGAAGAACGGCCGTAAATCGCGATAAAGTGCGGCAACGGTTTTTTTTAACACGTTGAAAATTTTCAGATACGAATTTCATCGCGCGTTGCATATAATATTCTAAGCTCTGCGGAATAATATATTATGAAAAAGTAAAGTTGTGAAATACACAACATTTCGAGAAGAGTTCCTTTTGCTATATTGCTTCCGACTGTGCGTTTAGATCTCTGAAAGGCGATAGCTCTATCCCGTAATTTCCCCGCCGATGTTCGATTCGGTTGCGGAAAATTATAAAAGTATCATCCGCAAAATGAGGACGGTATTGCGATATCGCGATGAGATATCAGAATTCTCGATGGCGACTCGCCTGTGCCCGGGATTGCTTCTCTCTCTCTCTCTCTCTCTCTCTTTCTCGCATTCTTTGATCAATCCATTTGAATTTGGCGAATCTCCAAATTCTTTAGCAAACATGGCATATCAGTTTTTCAAAAGAAAATAAATTTTACTTCGTTCCAAGAACACTTGAGCTTTTATCGTTATTACATCGCATGCGATCAGCTTCTTTGTTACTGCACGAAACGCATTTTTCAAGTATAGGTACATATATTCTGCGGTGAAGAAGCATCTAGCTGATTATTCGAGCCATTGGGGTTCGCTCGATTTTTCTTTTTAATCTCCGAACATCTCGATAATTAACTCTCAGATTCAATTTCAATTAGAGCAAGGCTCACTTTTCCCAATTTAAATAATCAGCTTCCGCTTCTTAATTACATTCTTGCAGCTTCACATTCGTCGGAGCTCTTTTCTTCCTCCCCACCCTCTCTCTCTCTCTTTCTCGCTCTCTTCTTTGTTTATTAATCTATTTCTCTTTAACGTTTTCAATATCTTTTACATCTTTGAGTAAAAGGATACGATGGAGAAATTACAAACAATATATTCTTTTGTATATCTAATGGAATATTTTATTTAAACATAGTCTTGTACAATACTACAATCGTACAATAATTTCGATAAACTTAATAACGATCGTATCTGCAACAATATCTATTAAGATAGTTTGAAACTTTATACTGCTGATAATTAACATCGATTTTGCTATTATTCACAAGGCTCGCTTAAATGGATGTTACTAGATATATAATTCAGTTATCTGTGACAATTATCGCGTGCAACAAATATATTCACGCATTTGTCAACGCTATACTTCAGAATTATTATATTCGATATTCGGCCAATGGAATCAGTTCTTTGCTACACGAGTTCTCGTATTTCATGCATTTCGTGAAGCCGCGGACTTATATAATATCTAATATAATATAAGATAGCTGTTTGCAACGACATAAAGCGCGAAATTGGCTACCTGCTATATGGTATTGATTATACGTCATATACTATGTTATGTGCCTGTGCAGTAAACACCATGTTTATATTAATATCGAAATTGCCTGCAACTCTCTCGCATCCCCTCTATGACTACTATATTATATTGCGCCCGACGCGTTTATCAGCGACGTGCTGGATCACATACACAGTTCGTCGTAACTATTAATTAAAAAATTCAGATGAGAGAAATTGCCCCAAATTAATGATATTCCTGTCGATTGAAAATCAGTTCATTACTCTTCTATTTTCCAAGATTTTCAGTGTAGATCAATAATATGTAGTTCTAACTAAAGAATTATGATATATTTTCTCAGAAATTGTTACAAGCGATAAAAAATTTCTTTCGGAAATCTTAAGGATTAATGTAGCCTTTTGAAAGAAATTTTACGTGAATTAAATTAATTGTTTTCGAAAATTTAATATTTTTGTGAAAGTCCTGAATATAGATAGTTTTATATATAGATAAGAGTACATGAAATATTTCTTATGCGTAAAAAAATATATTGTAATTTTTTTCCTGTAATTAATTTTTCGATAATTCTTAACATTTTCACATATAGCATGAAAAGTAAAATAGATGTATAAAAAATATATATATTGATAACATCCAAATATAAAAATCAATAGAGAAGTTCCTTTCTCTTGTAAACTAAACAACTTAAGAAAGAATTTTGCCACCTTCTCTAATAATCTTCAGATTGCATCGCTTTACGTAAATAATCCCATTTGTATCTTAACATTACGAATTTTAAAAAAATTTTCTCTTTAAAGTACGCATTCCCTGAGAGAGATACTATATTAATTCAAATTAACACTAAATTAATACCAATGTTTCTCGTCATATTCATTTGGTAATGGCGTGGCCGTTAGGACAATTAATTCGATACAGTGTATTTAATAGCTGTTTCGCGGATTCCACATATATTCGCTCGGATATCGAAAATGCATATATATACAACGTACGTCAGGGGAAATACGTTACGTATTATATGTAAACGCAAAGTTCTGCGCAAACAGACGGGCGTGTTGTAGTTACGTATTCACATATTATGTTAACTACATATAGTTAACGTGTAAATAACACAGGAATGACTGGTCTTTTATGATGGGTGCGTTGCGTTGCACAAAGGATTTACATCGTACGCGAATAAATCGAAAGCTTGAACACTGAAGGACCGTTGATACCACCGTTGATACTAAAACTGATACCTTTTTTTTTTTAGCTTAATTGGTTAAAAAAAACGTACATTTAATGATACAGCGCGGTGCGTATGCATGGCTCGAAGAATGCAGAATCCTTGGAACGTTTTGCATTTTAGGTGTCAAGATCTGAGCCGGAAAAAAAAAACCACGCGGTGGAGAAACGCGGATGCGTTCGCCGCGCCATCAGAATGCGACGCGCAATGCCGAATATGCTCGCGTGCACGTGCTTGAGAACCGCTGTCCCGTAAACCTAGTCCGCAGGTCGGACGGGGGATCGATGCGATTCGAAACCGAAACCGTCGCGGTCTACAGGGACGCGGAGGTGAGGACCGGGTGGCTTTCATTCGGCTAAAAGGCCACCGAAACGCCATTGTGACATCTCTCGAGAGTACAGCCGGGGAAAACGATACGCGACGGTTGCATTTTGGCCGTTCGATTTACCGGTAACGGGACGACGCCTCTGTGTACACTCGAGTGCGGTAACGCCGATGTTGCGCCGCCGACCCACGTCGAAGTGCCCCGGCGAATCGATTATTTAACGGCCCGAGCCCGGCGATATACGCGTGTACGCTCCGTACGCGCGTATGTGTGTACATACGTTTCTGAAAGCGCGGGCGCGTGAAAAAAAAGAGGGCCTCTGGATGCGGTAATCGTTTGTCATCAATTATTGACGGAGCGCTTGTTTATCATATCCACTCCATCCGCAATCTCGTTAATTCATCATCAATTTCATCGACACCGTAGATACCACCCGGCCGTATACTTTTCACAAAGAGATGATTTATCGCCATTTAACCGCAATTACACGATATGCTGAGGTACCGCCGCGCCGTCGGGCGAGGGTGTGCGGGACTATCGATTACTCAATTACCTGAAAACAAGAGATAGAACGACCATAACGCGAAAAATAACGAAAGAGGGGGGGGGGGAAGGAGTTTTTACCGCGCGGATGGGGCATGTATGCGAGAGAGAAACGCGAGGGAGCGCGGTATACACGAAACTTGGTCGAAGGTCAATGGCGGGGAGAGCTTTTCCGATGCTTTTACCGCCTCCCCGCTTTTAGCATTCCGACTTGTTTTTCGCGGAAAACTTGAAACTCACTCAGTTTCCTTCTATCGCAGCGCGCGCGTTCGGCACGCGCTGCGCGGCGCCACAGCCGCGAGTATGCCTTTATCGAGTACGCGGCGGCGTCCCACCTACCTTACGAGAGCGGTGATAAGGTTACGCTAAGAAATTGCTTCCCGCAGGCGGATGAGGGCGAACTTTCCCCGGCGAGAGGGAGCCGCGTCTCTCTCTTTCTCTCTCTCTCTCTCTCTCTCTCTTCTCTTTCCGCCTTATCCTCCCTTCCACTAAATTCAACTCGCCCTTGCCTCGTACCTGCTACTCCGCGCGATTTCTTCTTGTTGCAACCCTCCGAACGCGCCTCTTACGCGGGCTCGGATCCCGCCCGGTTTTACTCCGCGAGACGTCGATCAGCGTGAGGAGAAGAGTCGAGGATTTACGCGAAGTCGATGCGAGAAGGAGTTTTACGCAATCGTTACTT